AACAATTTTAGTGAATTGTTGGCCTTCTGGAAAGTATGTTCATTTACTGTACATGTACTCAATACTTGGTAGGGGCTCCTTTTGCTTTAATTACTGACTCAATTCGGCGTGGCATGGAGGTGATCAGTTTGTGGCACTACTGAGGTGGTATGGAAGCCCAGGTTTCTTTGACAGTGGCCTTCAGCTCATCTACATTTTTTGGTCTCTTGTTTCTCATTTTCCTCTTGACAATACACCATAGATTCTCTATGGGGTTCAGGGCTGGTGAGTTTGCTGGCCAGTCAAAACTACTTCAGTCTGTGTGCACTGAATTTATTTATTACACGAGTTTTACAATTTGAGTTGAATTACTGAAATAAGAAGTGAAGTGAAGTGAGAAGTGACGTGACATGTGGCCAAGTATGGTGACCCATACTCGGAATTAGTGCTCTGCATTTATCCCATCCAAAGTGCACACACAGCAGTGAACACACACACCGTGAACACACACCCGGAGCAGTGGGCAGCCATTTTTTGCTGCGGCGCCCGGGAAGCAGTTGGGGGTTCGGTGCCTTGCTCAAGGGCACCTCAGTCGTGGTATTGAAGGTGGGAGAGAGCGCTGTACATTCACTTCCCCCACCTACAATCCCTGCCGGTACGAGACTCGAACCCGCAACCCTTGGGACTTCTCCACGACATTCTAATTTATTGAGATGCACCTGTATATCTTTTTACCAACTATCACATCAAAAGTCTATGCACAATTCAAAGGCAGGGGACTTATGGGATTTTTCTGTCCATTTTATTGTCCACCAGATAAAAATCATATGTCTGATAGCATAAAAAAAGAGTCAATTAAGAAATAATTTATGTTTGTAGCACAAATGGCGCCAAAATTTAGTATAGGGCTAGAGGTTTGTTCAAAGTTCTAATTCTAAATATGAGTAATAGTGATTGACTTTGCGAACACCACGGATGACTCATGTACTGGACTGCAATGGTGAGCTATGAAACAGTGGCAAAATGAGACGTATGTATATGTGTGTGAGTCAGATGTTTTGTTAATCCTCAGAGGATAACACAGCTTTACTCTGGAGGAATGAGTCTGGCGTTGCGCCTCTGGCCAGAGAGAGATCAGAGAGCCGGTTTACCTCCCGTTACCTTGCATTATAATAGCCTGGTCACTCTCACAGGCCAGCACTAACATCATCTGTCTCATTATGCCATATTTATCTACATCTGTAATAGTAATCATGACACTACTTACCTCACAAGAGTCATGCCTTACGTAGAATACATATGAGCATCCATTTGTTGTGTTTCTCTTTATGACTAATCTGCATCGCTCAGTGAGAAATGCCTTAAAGGGACAGTTCTCCCAAAAATGAAAATTGTCATCATTTACTCATCTTCAAGTTTCAAACCGGTATGACTTTCTGCCTTTCATGAAACACAAAAGGAGATGTTTAACTGTCACTCCAGTTATGTATTCCACTGAAGAATGTAAGTGGGTTTGGAAGAAGATTGTGAGTGCAAAAAAAAGAATTTTTATTTTTGGTGAAATATCCCTGAATACCTCACACGTATGTTTTCTTGCTACATATGAATGATAATTTTCAGAATACATGATAATGTTCTCACCAACTTGAAGACTCAACACCATTATGTGGCAAATTTTGTCAGTTAATAACCGTTTCCTTTGAGACACAAGGTGCCTTCTTCAAAGGGTCATTATGGTCTTAGTACTTTAGCTAAATTCTCAACTGGGCTGCATTGACATCTTAGGTTGTTTTTCATCTTTTTATGCACTCACAACTTGACTGATTTTAAAAATTGTATATAGAATTTTTAAAAGTGGGCTAAACTGGAAATTTGAGAGGTTGAAGAAGCATTGATGAAAGACTAAGGGGCTGTTCATAGTGAACACGTCTTTGTGTCTATAATGCGAGATGCAGTGCTCAGGAATGGTTTTTAAACAAAATGCAGAGCAGAATGCCTCCTCCGCCATGTTGCCATCAAATAAAACAGTTGGCACAGCAACTTGCTACTGTAAACAAAAACTTGCAATGCTTGCCCCGCCTCTGTGGTCTTCTGATTGGCCTACTGTTTTGGAACTGACATTCTTTTAACTTGACATGTGAGAGACACTGCAAAACACACGAGCGCAATGGTCATACACATCCGTCCAGTGCATGTTTACATAGAAAACAATGGACAAAAGTTGTGCATTGGAATGGAAAAACGCATTTTGTGTGAACAGCCCCTAAGCAAGCTTTATTTTCTAAACTTAACAAGTCTTATTTTTCATCAAATGATGAATGTGTTAACTGAATAAAATGTAACAGTGTTAAAACATGATAACACATTAACTTTGGCAGCGCTAGTTTGAAGTGTGTCAATCAGTCTCAGAGACAGACTTTGTTGAAGTCTCTTCAGAGGAAGTTTTCAGCCGCAGGTCAGGATGAGTATCAGATGAGGGGTGGCAGAAACAGAGACTGATTTTGTAAACAAGCCTTACGTGTCAGCCTGAGAGTGGAAAAGCGAGGCGGAATTCTCTTCAGACGGGATTTATGTGCAGCAATGTACTCACATATGGTTCCAAAATGTAGGCCCAGGATTTATGAAGAGGCCAAATGGCACGCTAATGTGCCGCAGATGTCCTGGGGGAGGGTGCAGTCAGCAGCGGTGCACGAGTTTAATGAAAACTAATCGCTTTGATGGGCCTAATCAGGATTACCCTCTGATCAATACCACCTTTAGCCGGTTCCTGGCCAACCTGTGCTGGATTACAGCCGCTTTCCAGCCCTCGTTTCTGCGGCTGGAATCAAGAGCTTTAAAAACAGAAAGGATGCAGGATTTCCGGTATAGTCGCCCAAGTCTGCTTGCTCAACCTTTATAGAGCCGGGGCAAAGAGGGGCTAATGTGTTTAATTAAATACTAAGTGATCTATTCCCTCAGCGCTGGAGTTCAAGCCAACACAGCCCATCAATGAACATGTGCGAATGCGTTTGTGTATACACACGCAACACACGTGATTAGGTGAGATGCTAGTCTTGTGTATTCATACATCTGTTTATAAGTTTAACTTTATTTGTTGCGTGCTCAACAGGTGCATGTGATTAATTAATTAATTTTTTTCTCCAGAAACAGAGTCTGATCATATACAAGCAATCCTGGCTTTTGGAAATTGATTGTGGAACATGTGAAGTGTGACGTTAACACTGAGTAACTTACATAGACATAGCAATCATACTGGAGAATCAGAACAGTTCTATAAACACCTAAAAAAAAGTCCACGCTCTATATTCATAGTCTTCTGAAATAATTTTCTCAAAATCTTCTTCTCTACCATCATTCTCACATCTCAATATTTGAACTGAATGAGATTTGAGTCTGAAAAAACTTACTGATTTCATTCCATTGACTTCCATTCATACACATGCGAATGCAGGAGTGTGGAAATGCATCTCATGCTAAGTTGTTTCGCATTTTGCTGCATTCCAAAGTTCAAGTTGGTGAAATCTTCCATATCACGTGAAACCGAAACCGTGTGACCAACAGAAGATTGAAAAAAACATCAATTTAAAACTACAGTGCTGGAGGAAAGTGTAGTAGATTGTATGTTTTTACATTTTGGATTTATTCTTATTTGTTATGAGTTGAATTTAAGTTTTTAAAAAGATGCATGCCATCATATCAAAACCATTGAAACCATAGAAATGTATACAGTAGATGCCACATTCGACCGCTCCAGATACGTTGACGCGTCCGCCATCTTGGAACGGTCTATGTCGTCACTCAAAATAACAATCAATGAGTTTCAATATGCAACAACATTGTTCAGGACCTGGTTGTAAAAACGCATAAAATTTAATTCCTGAAGAAACTGGTTAACGTTTCACAGGTAAGAATGTGTTGGTTTGTGTTTTTAATATGTATTAACTCAATATTACAGGTTTTTAAACTAAAGTCCCTTTTAAATGCCTTCTTAGCGAAATGCTGTGTCTTGTTGTATTGTGTTAGTTTAGCAAAAGCATCTTCTGAAGTCTACTGAATATATAAATGCGTGTAACGCATATATAAATGTGCATAACTAAAGTTGCAGTGCAGATGCACCAGCAACTTGCTCTCGAGTGTTCACAGACATTGCAATATGGCGGGCGGCTTACATATAGTGGCCCACAGAAACAGCCGCTAATAGGGCATCTACTTATACAGATCTATGGTTGCAGCGTCCAAAGAAATTGTGCATGCTCAAAGTCTAGTGTGATCATAACATAGCAACATGCTAACATCAGAAACATGGGAATCGTAAATATTAATGCACAGACACCCCATTAGCTCATGGCAATACATCTACAGGTGCATCTCAATAAATTAGAATGTCGTGGAAAACATGTTGGAAAGGCCAAGATTCTTTAATTAACACATAACAGTGATTTGACAGATCCTGTCTTTTCCAACTGATTTTCACAGGATTTGTTCTGCTATAAACATCTGATAATCCTGCATATTATAAATAATATCAAAAGAAAATAATTGGTAGTGCCAGAAATAAATTATGCCTGTCCCACAATTCCTGTGACTTCCCTTTTTTGTTGTAACCTCCAAATACAGTTTTCTACAATATGAATGTGTCATGACAAACGTTGGGAAGATTAGCACCCAGACAGTCATTTTATTATGCAATGATATGCTTCCAGCCAAAAGCAATACTACTTACTTCTATTCAAACAAGCCCTGTTGACCACTCCAAGATGGCGGCATGTATGTATTAATACTTTATATCCATGGTTAGTATCAATTGCATAAGAGTAGTACTTGAATCTTTGTGTTAAGTGTAAGAGCATCCAAGTTGCTGTCTACAAATTGAGCTTCTTATTTAGACAGTAACTCAATAAGGTTTAGAACAAGGCTAATGATGACCGGCCTGTCACATTATACAAATCGTGCAGGTGGCTTGAGCGACCTGAATTGCAACCTAGAATGCCAAAAATACATTGCCTGCATTTCACACCAACCTTCTCTTGGGCCAGCTCTCTTTCAGCCTTGTGGGTTCTTTCCAGGTCCTGCCGCACCTGATCCATCTCGGCCCGCAGACGGTCCAGAGCTGCTTGCTGGTCCCGAGCGGCCCGCTGTCGCTCCTCCTCCCGCAGCACACCCAACTCCGTCAGCTGCTGTTTCCTCTGACTGTGGGCTGCCAACAGCTCCTTCCTCAGAGAATGCACCTGGACCTCCAGATCAGAGATGGTCTGGTGAGAAACACAAACAACGAAATTTGTAAATCCGTTAAGATGCACCCATTCATGGAACAGATGATGTGTTTATGGAATACTGAATCTGGGAGTTCAACACATTTAGGCTGTAAAACAGAAACAAATGCAAAGTGAAAAAAGACAGAAGAGTCCGGATAGAGAGAAAGAGGATAAGCGAAACAAGCCAAGCAGGACGAGCGGAGCATTTGTGCCCATTCCAGCCAGGAAGAGGAAAACAGACACCACAGCCTCTGATCTCTGAGCCACAAGAGTTCAACATCAAAGCTCGGCGGTTTGATTTAATGAGCAAAATTAGCGCAAATCAAAGGTCAGTTACCCATGGGGATGAGGTACCACTGCCATTTCTCATTTCAGGAAGATGAAAAACCTCACTGAGACCACTTACCAATGTGCTTTTGCATTAACGTTAAAGAGAGTGAAAAAGAGTAGATGAATTACAAAAAAACAGAAGGAATCAAGAGGCATTACCACAGGAATTAGCCCTTGACAGACCTGTCAGAGACCTCGTTCTGAGAGTCAAGAACCGTCTGACACACTGACCGAAGGTTGAAACTTGAATACAAATGGACAGAGTTATGGAGAATAAGTAGCGATACTCACTGCTAGTAGTAGTAACAGGGCACAACGTATTTCTAAGCCACCAGACCCTTAACATAAAACTGCATTCACACTGCTCTTCTGTAATTCAACGTATTTCAGTCAGACTTTATTTTAAGGTTCAATTCTCACTATTAACTAACTATTAACTATGACTTCAAACTCCTAATTTGCTGCTTATCAATAGTTAGTAAGGTAGTTGTTCAGTTTAGGTATGGGGTGGACATTTATTAATGAAGTATAGAGACTCCAACTCTCATATTCTCTTTAAACACCATTTGACACTTTAAATATTTTAAAAAGATATGGTGTACGTCATCAATTAACAGCACAATTGACGCTAACAGCCATTAATACTCCAGCACACCATGTCCATAATAATGATATCAAATAATCTGTGCTCCCAAAGCGTTTAACCCTCGCAGCGCAGACGGTGGCGTGTGGTAGAGTCTGACATGTTGGCAGTCCCTCGTCTGCTCCTCGCGCTCCCAAACATCCCTGGGAGGAGACTGCTAAGTGCATCACGTGGCACATCTGTCGGAAAAGCATCTGAAGTTGTTTTGCGGCCACTTGGGGAATAGCAGCAAACTTCAAAGCCGTGTCGCACAAACACCCAGATGCCAAGACTGCGTGCGCGGGTCCAATAAGGCCAGAGCGGCGCAGCACCAGCCCACATGCTGCTGCAACGGCACAAAGCTATTAGATCTCGGCTCGGAGGAGCCTTTAATCTATAATTCCCTCTTAAACTGGACTCTGGGAAGAATTTTCTGATGCATCTTTGATGGGCTTGGATGTGCTTTTATGAAAAGAAGCTCAGAAACTAGCACAGAAAATGAAAGGCAATAACCACTGAGAATGTCGCATCACGTATGATGTAACTTCAACAGTTCAACAAAATAATTTAATTCAAACGAACTGAGAGAGAGGAATGTAGGACAGACTGTGATATATTCAGTTATTTGTGCACATATTCATTAAGAACCAAGAGAAACAAAATACAAAAATGAAAATATGCATACACTGTCCAAAACACACAAAACTTGCAGGCCTTTACTCTTCGGCAAATAGGACCAGACAGGTTTAAATCATTGTAAGGGGACAAATTCACCTACAGCACTTCCTCAGTGGAACAGTACTTCTTGTCAGAATTGTTCCACTTCACTCGGCATCTATGGTTCCTATGAAGAGCCCTTAACATCCGTGGAATCTTTCCATTCCACAAAAGGTTCTTTAGATGTTCTTCACACTTCCAAAAAATGGTTCTTTTCCATTTTTTTTATTGGGGAACCAAAAATGGTTCTTCAGTGGCATTGCTGTGAAAACCTCATTTATTTTTTTAAAAGTGTGCTTGTCAATCCCATGCCTTAAATGGTGTTTACACCGCATACAATTAGAAGACAGATCAGACAATTAGAAGTCACTCATTTTTAAAGCGAGATGCCAATGCCAGCATGACTTCAGTGCAAAGATGGTTTTACAGTTTAGTACAGTTTATGCAAATGAGCAGCTACACACAATGCGAGGAAAACCAATGGAGTACAGACAACGAAGCTCAGGTGATCCACCCGATACAACTGGATATAGTAGTCCAGTAGAATGGCTTCTCGAAACCAACAGTGACTTGGTGATTGAACCACTGTCAAAGTGAAATCATTTGCTAGTGAGCTTTGCTCAGGAAAAAAAGACGGGTACAGATAAGACAGAGTATGCCGGTCCCTGTTCTCTTATGGTGATTTCAGAGGTATTATATGTGGCATGCTCCTCAATTTGCATTTTCAAGGACTATGGCACCATTCTGGATGAAAGACGAACGGTGCGATCCAAATCTTCGGCTGAAATGCATTTGCATGTCTTTAAGCGTTCAACGTGAAGCCCAGTGAAAAGCGTCTGAGCGTGCTCTGCTTCAGTGATGTCTGGCCAGAGATTAAAACCCTTTTCATCATCGAGGGCCCATCTGGTGCTGAGAGCCAGTCTGCTGGAGCCCATCTTCCGTGACCCATCACAGCTGGATGGACGGACTCATGATGGTGCTGTTTTGTGTTTTCCAGAGTTGAAAAGAGCAGCTGAAATCAAGACAATGTCATTAGACAACTGCTTAAAACCAGCCGTGGTTTGGCAAACAGTCCATTGTGTCAACCATGTGGAAAAAAAGAATCTGAACGATGACTTTTGGATATGCAGCATGACTGAGTTGGATGAGCTTCCACTCTCGTTCTAGAGAGGTAATTGAAACAATCATGGAATGTACATTACCAGTTACAAGTCTAGACAACTCATTCTTCTACATTTCAAAATACTATGAAATAACACAAACGGGAGTATGGGAATTATAAAACCAAACCAAATCTTTTAAAAAATGTGCTCTATTTGAGCTCCTGCAAAGCAGCCACCCTTTGCCTAGATTACGGAAAAAAAGACGGGTACAGATAAGACAAAGTATGCCGGTCCCTGTTCCTGTGATTTCAGAGGTATTATATGTGGCATGCTCCTCAATTTGCATTTTCAAGGACTATGGCACCATTCTGGATGAAAGACGAACGGTGCGATCCAAATCTTCGGCTGAAATGCATTTGCATGTCTTTAAGCGTTCAACGTGAAGCCCAGTGAAAAGCGTCTGAGCGTGCTCTGCTTCAGTGATGTCTGGCCAGAGATTAAAACCCTTTTCATCATCGAGGGCCCATCTGGTGCTGAGAGCCAGTCTGCTGGAGCCCATCTTCCGTGACCCATCACAGCTGGATGGACGGACTCATGATGGTGCTGTTTTGTGTTTTCCAGAGTTGAAAAGAGCAGCTGAAATCAAGACAATGTCATTAGACAACTGCTTAAAACCAGCCGTGGTTTGGCAAACAGTCCATTGTGTCAACCATGTGGAAAAAAAGAATCTGAACGATGACTTTTGGATATGCAGCATGACTGAGTTGGATGAGCTTCCACTCTCGTTCTAGAGAGGTAATTGAAACAATCATGGAATGTACATTACCAGTTACAAGTCTAGACAACTCATTCTTCTACATTTCAAAATACTATGAAATAACACAAACGGGAGTATGGGAATTATAAAACCAAACCAAATCTTTTAAAAAATGTGCTCTATTTGAGCTCCTGCAAAGCAGCCACCCTTTGCCTAGATTACAGCTCTGAGATGACTTGGGCGGCATGACAACCCAAAACGGCTGAATCCAAACCCCCTGCTGGTGCAAGAGACAACGTGACCGCCGTCAACAAGCTTGTTGTTTTTGGCACATCAGAAAGCAGGCCTGATCTCCTATGCCATGTCCGCCTTCATTTTCTGTGTTCTAATCTCTTACTGGGGAATCAAGCTCTTTAAAAGTTTGACAGCATCATTAATTTGCCGATCAGAGCGGTATGATGCTATACTCCACGGATTTCAGATGTTCTCCCATGCTGTTTGAACTCCATGTTACATTACTGAAAAAAACATGGAATTTGTCAAGACGAAATCGCAAAGAAACGTACTAGTGGATTTAAATGGCAGAATTAAGCATCTGTTGTTCATACAGTGTGTCTAAATGAAATAAAATGACTCTTTGTTTTGTAAGTGTCTGAGACATTAACATGTCTGGAGATCAAATCAAATCAAGTCAAATCAAATCAAATCATGCAGCAATTCTCAATCAGCAAAAACACAATCTATAGACAAATATTACCTATTAAATTATATATATATATATAAATAAATATATATGTGTGTGTGTGTGTTAGTTACACTTTAAATTAAATAGTTTAGCCTGACATTTATAATAAATGTTGTTTATAATGAATGCCAATATAGTTTGTTTTATATTCATATTTTTCAGTCCTGTTCTGTTATGAATACCATTAAATTTACAGAATTTGTTGTGGAGTTAGGGGAACTACAATATATGTTTATAGCATTTATAATTGTTTAATTCACAGGTAGCTTAATTAATAGTAGTTAGTAAAAAATCCATTAAAAAAATTTATTGACGAGTCTGTTGCGGTGCGGCCAACTGAATGCGCTGCTACTCTGCCGCTCACTGCACTTCTCCGGGAAAGTCAGACCTCACGCTCGCGGGACAATGTCTTAAATTACTCAAAATATGTATAATAAAGGGTCCCACTTTATATTAGGTGTCTTTAAATACTATGTACTAGTGCTGTGCAGTATGATCAAAAATTTATATCACGGTATTTTTCAAAATTATACCAGTTTCAAGGTACATGACGGTATTTTTTTTTCATGCATGACCGGGTGTTAACCATATTTTCTACTGATTGAGAGAGGAAATACTGCAGTATATTGACTTAGAATGCCCTATTTTACTGTCATGATGAGTGAATATTGTCAAAAAATACCACACTAAATAGTGACTAAACACGACCCCTTTTAAATGTTAACCAGGAGTCACTCTCACTTATAATCGCGGCATCGTCTGATAAAATCAACACATACAGCTTAGTAACACATACAGCTGTTCCCTCACCACAGTGCAACAGTGAAAAGGGACCCCTTTCAAACAGTGTCGCGTTCCAAACGTTGTTTAAGCGACATACACCGGTATTGTGGTATTTTAAAAATTCATATAATAACAAAAATAAACATCGGTATTCTGTATGAACCGGTATACCGCCCAGCACTACTATGTACTTAATAATAAAATAATGAATTGTTAGGCACCATGTACCATTGTGTTCATGTTGAACTGCAAAACACTTTTGCTGCTATTGACCGGGACACGGGTGAGGTTATGGACAGGTTTGGTGGTATGGTTAGGTTTAAGGGGTAGAGGTAGGGTCAATTATAGATGTAACTACAGAAATTAATTGTAATTACACATGCAATTACAGGACGGTATTTTCAAATGTAAGTACAACGTAAAAATATGTATGTACACAATAAGTGCATTGTTTTTAATGGACGAGAGAGGACCAGACCTGGACTTTATTTTTTGTTTTGGTTCTGTTTGTGCGCGACAGTCGTCCGCGCACAAAACACCTGTTTTGTGTTTATTTTATTATTAAAGTTTTGTTTGAATGTTCGCCGGTTCCCGCCTCCTTCTTCCCGAACTACGAACTTTGTTACAGTGATTTCACCACGTTTTTGTGTATTGATAACAGTTCATCATGTTCATTATATGTTATCAGGATATCAATCCTTGTTAAAATAGAATTAATTACTTCTCCACTCTCAGCTTACTAATAACATTAGATCATCCAGCAGTAGCAACGCTCACTAGAGACCAACAGTACAGCGACCTGACGAACCCCAGTGATAAAATCGCTCAGTGTGAACAAGACTTAATGCGTGCAGGCTGATGAAAGAGAAAATAAGTGAAAGTGTAGATTCTGACCACTGTTTTTTCACCAACTACAGTGTATTTTTACATTTCAAACTTTTTTTGTGGACAGATAGTTATAGCATTTTACCAGCTGTTGTTGTCAACTATGCAGTAGCTTCCAGTTTTTCTTGCGGGTGTATTGTCAAGCCATGCTGCACGAAACTGAAGAAATAAAGACATAACTACAGAATTTTTGCACTTCAAAATAAAACTCATTCAATATAACAATTGGCATTCAGCTCTTGTTTTGGGCTTGTGGCCATAACACTCATTTTCAAGTAGCTTTTTTTTTTCAAGTTTTCTGTAGCTGTTATGACACCATATAAAAGCGCTGGAGAGGGAAGCGGCGGACGGGGCAATTGGCACAACAGGCACCAGAAACCCGCTGATGACCAAAATGGAGGTTTTATGGCTAAAGAGCTCATTAATACTCTCTAAATGACATACGCCTGTTCCAGTAGTTTGAGATATTAGAGAATAGCTCTTATTAGCAGATAAATGCTACCTACACCGTAGCGACAAAACCAGAACTCAGTGGTGGTGCACAGATACTACTAAACTCAATATAAACAACCCAAGAAAAGAAGAATGCACCCTACGGTTTACAATAAAAGGCCACAGCGGCAACGGGTTGGGGAATTTACCTTTTTCATCCAGCATCCTGTGGTTTCAGTCACTTTTTTCAATGAATTTTTAAGGAATTCTCCCAAGTGGAAAGTTGCACATAAAAATAATGCCCAATAAGTTTGCGTTTTAGAATTCTTCCTAATTAAATCCTTGTTTTTTTCCCCCACACGGTACAATAAAAACATGACAACAGTTTTGCGAAAAAGTACGCGAAATACTATATTTTTTTAAGTACCTTGTAAACGGTATTCTATGTAGTGGAACTTATAAAAATGCAATAATGAAATAAAATACACAGTGTAAAATAGCCATCAATTGTAACATTATCCTAATTAGAAAAACAAAATAGTGAAGCGACGGAAAGGAAGGGACCCCCTACCTGAGCATCGCGCTTCCTCCACTCCAGGGTTTGCATTTGCTGCTGGACCATGGCGGCCCTCGCCTGCTTGTCCAAACTATCGATTTCCCGCTGGTGGTCCTGGACCAGGCTGTCCTTCTCAGCATTGTGTGTCTGGAGTAGGTGCGTCCGCTCCTGTTCATGCTGCAGTTTCAGTTCCACAATCTGATTGGACAACAAGAAGTAAGACTTCATCAGCAGAACATCCCTGTCGTCATGACAACTTGTGCATGGCTCAGCGAAGAAAAAAGTTCACGTTTGCCTCACAACAAAAGAAGCCTACGCAAGTTTTTGCGTCACTATGATCTCACATGTTGTTGTCCTCCCACTTTTGCGCTAATTACGACAAGCTAGCCTCTCTTTCAGCTCTCGTTAGAAAAAAGCGTACTGTCAAGGCCAGTGGCACAGCACTGGGCAAAAAAAAACTAAATTAATAATAATAAAAGGCCTTGACATTATGGCCATGATTGTAATTAAAGACGAGGAAGCAAGAAATTAACACATTATCTGTTTGCAGATTTTTACCTGTAATCCTATTTTATTTCAAAAGAATGCTCAAAAAAGAAAGAAAGAAAGAAAGAAAAACACTTCATTCATTAATTAAATTCATTTGAAATTTCTTGTCTGTCCATACAGTATAACGTCATGGTGGATGTACTGCAACTTTAATAACCACTTATTGTTACTTCTGAAACCTTATCCGAAGTGTTGCGCTTTGACAAAAATGGAAAATTAAGAGCCTAAAAAAATCCCAATCCGCCCGGCATCCCTGCTAACTTCTTTTTTCAGAGAAAAATGCGGTCAGCATTGAAAGCAAGGAGGAAAATATTGAAAGAACACAGCTAGCAGCAGTATTATCTCGCTGACTTGCACCTGCTGTGCGGTGAGCCGAGCCTGGCGATGAGAGGCAGCGCCAACGGTTCCCAAGGTCCGTTCCAACTCTCCTCTGGATGGGAGACGGTGACCTTGGCCGGTCCAGCCCCCATCTCCCAGCTATCCTGCAGCGAGAGGCCTGGTCCCCACAGTTTTCAAGCTAATCCCCCCACATTGTGCGGCTCGGCACCCTACCTGGCCTGCCAGCTAGAGGCTGCTGTGGTGCTATTGAGTGTAGGTGACGAATGGGATTTCAGCTCGATTCCCCCAGCCAATCAGGCACAAGGCCACAAAAGACGCTTCAAACAGTCCCATGGCATTTCCAATTTCAGTGAATTTTGAAGCTGAAGTAAGATTTAGGGAGAAGATTCCTCATCCTCCAGCTTTATCGATTTCTGTAGAGGAAGAGACATGGATGCAAGCAGACATCTCTAATAGGGCAAAACCGAACAGCCAACAGAAAGAGCCTCAACTAATTGATCAGGGACCGCCAAAGGACGCAACCCTCCGGTTTTAAAGGAATAGGACAGATTTCTTCATATCACGCCATGCATTAATATGCTAACCTCGGGTAAACATGCTGATTCTGAGGTCTCTGTTAGGAGGTACACTACAATCTGACCATCCAGTTTGCAATATATACACGTCTTGACAGATGAATACACCGTGATCAGTGATTACCTTAGTTTAAAGCCCCGTGTACATCTTGCTGTGATGGGATAAACCCGTCCCACAGCACTTGTCGGACATGCGACAAAGCAAGGCTTTGGTTTTGACAATTCTGAGTTAATTTTTTTCGACGTAGGGTGAAAATCCAAGCCAAATATATGGCGATATGACAGTGGGAAAGCGAAGGGTGGGGGAGAGATTGAAAACACTGAAACGTCACAGAAAGGGCTGCTGGGTGCCGGGTTCTTAAAGCGCCAGTGCTGAATGGCTGCTGTCACTGGGAAGATGTGATTAGCGCCCCCTCCTAGAGCGCCAGCGTTGAGGTCATGGGGCGGTGGGCGACTGAAGCAGGCTCCCCAAGGAAAGAGTGTGGTATCGGAGAGGAGGGAAGCTTGGCGGCACTCAGTAGGGGTTCTGTTTGAAGAAAGAAGAGTGGCGGAAAATATATTCTATTATTCAGAGTACAGAAACTCCAAAAAGGATAATTCTGTCTATTTGTTTGTGTGCGGCTTTTTTGCATAAGAAAACATGAAAATGAAAAAGAAAGAGATCATGAGATGGACAGTTTGGTTGATGTTAATTGATAGGATAGGTTGCCATCTCCAAACACAGCCTCCACAGTTGTGAGTGGGATGTTGTTAATGTCATATACTGCGTAACTTCCTACTAGTTGTGACCTCAGACATCAGCTCGGTGTCGGCACTCGAGCCGGCATGACATCAAATGGCGAGGAGGTCAAAGAGAAACAACACTTCTATAGAAATGGACTCTTTTAAAGTCCCATTGATAGGAATCCTGGGGAATGTTTCTTTGTGTCCACATGAATGGCTAAAGTGACCCTCAGACCACAGTACACTCATTAAACCAGCAATAAACATCTCAGCTCAGTAACTTGAGGGGTCAATCAACTAGATCTTTACGAACTTTAAAAACCTTTACAAAGTTGCTCTCAGAATAACATATGCTAATAGATGCTTCCCAGTGATTCCTAAATGCTTGACAAATCAGTCAAATGTATTATTGTAATGTTTCAATATTGTGTAGTCAGTAAGTGAGTACAGGGGCCAAAGTGAGTTAGTTTCAGGCCAAAGTTATGAAGCATAGTTAAAGGCAATACAATTATTTGCATTGTGACATTTAAATAATATATCTTTTTTTGAATTAAGACGACAAATTTCTTAAATTATGATAATGCACTCTAAGAAATGTCCATAAAACATAGGGTCCAATGTGTTTGACTTTTCCATGTTTATGTTTCCATCAGGGTTAACCCATATTTTCAATTATTTCACATTGCATTGTGTTGTGTTTTGGGGTTTAAGGAAATGTCTGTAAACTTTTACATGGACCTTTCAGGGTTTTTTTTGTGGAGGATATACTTAATTATCATGCAAAAATTTTATTAAAAATCTGTTTGAAATATCATATAGAATTTTTAAACGGACATTTTCTTTAAGCAAATATATTTCTTTGATTTTGGGATGAAAAATGACCTGGATGACTCTGGGTGAGTGACATTACAGTTTGAACTTAACAAATCAATTTAGACACTCAACATATTTGAGGGCTTGTTACCTTGGCAACCTTATCTGCCACAGTTTCATTAAAATTGCTATTATTTTCTCTAGTGATATGATCACAGCAATTATAACTGACGCAACACGTGTGTTAAGAAGAGGGGAGAGAGTTGCTAAATGTGCTAATTGTCAGACCAATTATTATTATTATTATTATTATTATTATTTGTTGTTGTTTGCGATATTTCACACATTTAGCTCTAATGATAATAACAATAATAATAACTTTTTTCGGTTACACTGTATTTTAAGGTGTTACAATGCAAATATATATTTAAGTACCGAGTAATATTAATTAACTACATGTACTTACTATATGGTTAGGGTTAGGATTAGGGTTATTTACATGTAATTATGCATAATTTATTGTTATTACAATAGTAAGTACATGTAACATGTGTAACAAGGACACCTTAAAATAAAGTGTTACCCTTTTGTGTGTGCATCATTTAGTGATCTGATTCAGTTTATGGGACAGTCATGTCTGAACAGTCTGAATAGCAAAGCTTTGCATGCTAACTCTCAACTTAGTATGTCTCTTTGGCAGCAAGCATTGTGTTTGCTAAAATGTATGCCATTCCTGGCCCCAACTATACATCCCAATTAAACACCACTCTTCCATCGTCTTTCTATCTCTATTGTATAATTAAGCTATATATATACTGCTAGCAATGTGTTAGGATTGTGAGATGACTTCAATATTTGCCATTTTTATCTTAAAAAAGAAATAAGAAAAGATAACTGACACATTCCCGTCAGAAGTAAAAACCTTAAAAAGCCAGCATCTTATCAATTAACAAGACTTTGATTAAATGATGAACACATTCCATTTTTAATCAGGAGGAAGTGGAGACTGAATGGAATATGATAAGGGACCTTAAAATGAGAAAATAAATCTATTTGATTCTGCGCCAACCCATCCAGTCATCTAGAGGAATCATCTAGATGATTTCATTTGAATATAACCTGTGTCACACAACGAAATAACGCTGAAGTCTGAGCAAATGCTTTGTTCGTCTACATTTCTACCAAAAGGAAAATTGTTAAGTCACACTTAATGTAACGCAAATGGATTTGAAGAAAAGTTTGACCTGCTGCTCGTATCTTCGCTGCAGCTCCTCCAACTGGTAACTGAACTCTTTAGACTGCTTCTCTCGTAAAGATTTAGAGCGAATCAGATCGGCCTCTACTTTCTCCATCTGAAAGCAGAAAAAATATTGTTCAAGAGAAGGGCACAACAGAGTAACATTACCAGAGTAACATTAGCATTGGCTGAGAGTAACATTAACACATTGATAATAATGATTCTAATAAGCATAACAATACACAGGGCACAAATAAAGTAAAAATAGCAAAATAGTTAATGTAAAATGGATTGATACTTTTTGGTATTATGTATATACTATTTTTGGTGTTATTCATTTTATTATATTACTGCTGTGTGTGCTACCATGATAGTGTTTGTTTGTGACTCGGTGCACCCTCTATATATGAGTGTTGGTCATGTTTTATATTGTATTATGCCATATATTATTATGTGGTTATGGATACATATGTATGTACATATATATCAGAATAATGATAACGGTCTCTTAGCTGGCTGAAGATACTCTACATTTAGCATGTGCAAGTCAAGGCCATGTCCGATTATCCAGAGGACATTCCTTTCTATGATGCTGTTACAAACAGATGAATGCAAATGGACAGCAAAAAAGAGAAAGAGAGGGGGTGGCAGGAAAAGAGTGTGGAACACTTTGATGTGGGCTGAATCTTGGACAGATGATGATCGCTAGAGACACAGGGTGGAAAGAGAAAGGTGAATCAGAAAGAACATAAGCAGGATGTGGGCAGCAGCTTTGAGTCCAGCAAGAGCTTTAGCATTCCCTAACGCTCGCCCACAACTACATGACCATTAGTACGCGCGCGCACACACACTGCCCAGTGCAATGCTCCAGAAGAACGCTGCCCACACTGTGCCAACATGACTTAATGCAAGCCTGTTTAAAACTTCCTGTGGGAACCTCATTACTGATCACACATAAGCAAACAGAATAACAGAAAATAATGCTGGGCTCCATCAAATGCTGTATGTGGGGTATTCCTACAAACCTTGGCTACATTTCAGCAAAACTCAAAAAACATATAATTCACTAAAGTTTCCAGCTGAAATGAACACTAGTGGGAGTACAACACCAACACATTTCATTTGTTTTCATGCTAATTATGATTACAGATTATTGATTTATAAAGATTTAAATGCCCAATGGTATGAACTGAAAATACTTTTACCATAGTGCATAAACTAATACATTATAATGGTTGCATCACATAACCAGCTGCATACTGTATGTATGGCTTTTCTGACACAGTAAACTTGCTTGATAGCGCACCTGGTACACAATGCACTTGGGTACGAGTCTCAAGAAAAAGGAGCTCAAAGACAAGCTAAAATAGCATTGTTGCTTCAGGAAATGTGTTTTATCTCATCTCATGTTTGCTTTTGTTAACACTATAGTTCAGGTTTAGTGTGGTGTTTAGTGCAAGTTGTATGTTATTTTCAAACACAACTGAGCATTAACCTTTTAGTGCCACTCACTGGATATTTCATTCCTGAACTGCCGCGAGACATACAACAAGCAACTTAATAAACGTTGCTAGACTCACAATAATCTGTTTCAGATAAAGCTGAACTTGTTTTAAGTGCCACTCACTGGACGTTTCACTTTGAAAGTGTCAGGAAATGTGCAAGAACCAACGTAAAATCAAATGTCACCACAGGCACGTATTTCCAGAGACCCTGGGTTGATTCCAACTTATATATCTCTGACTTCCACCATCAAGGCATTGTCTTGATGCTCAGAAGATTAAACTTCTCTCAACAGAAGTCTGCTGTCAAACTGTGGAGGATAAACAATACTATGCACCTGGTTTAATGTACAGATGTATGAGAGGATCTCGACCAGACCAACACAGCAGAGCTGACAGATCCATTGGCATGAGTTTGAGATGGGACTGTTTGACCGACCAATGGTAAACAGTCCATATTTTTGCAATTTTATTTGAAGTGAAGTGACGTGACATGACATGTGGCCAAGTATGGTGACCCATACTCGGAATTAGTGCTCTGCATTTATCCCATCCAAAGTGCACACACACAGCAGTGAACACACACACACCCGGAGCAGTTTGGTGACACTTGTAGCATAGAAAATATACACTTTAGCTTTCTGTTTGAGCATTTAGCATGCATAGTGTGTATACTGAGACACTATTTTTCTTGTGTTCACTGGTCCAGTCCAAGGCTCTCCTCTAGCTAGCGTTCAGTGGAATGACATGAGACGAGTTTCTCTTCTGTTTTTCTGCATTAGTTCATAAAAGTACTGATGACAGGACTGTGACCCCCGGTTTCACAGACAAGGCTTAAGCCTATTCCCAGACTAAAATGTAATTCTGAGCTGTTTCAGCTGAAAGAAACTTGCACTGACTGATCTTAAAATATATCAGTGCCTTTGTTTTGTCTCAAGATGCACACCAGTAATGTTTTTTCTAAGGCACATTTATAAATATGACTTAAATGTCCTAATTGAACTATGGCCTAATCCTGGCTTAGTCTAAGCCCTGTCTATGAAACCAGGCCTGAGTCTTTTTGAAGAAAAGCAGATGGATGCAGCCTCCCTTGCACATGTGCTAAGAATGGCTGTGGTGTGTTTTTAACTTTTACATGCCTCCATTAGCAAAGCAGTACCAGGATTGTGACAATAACTTTCACAAGAAATAAGCATTTAACAATTGTTATAGTATTAAATCTATATATATAAAAAACATGACATGGTACATAAATAATCATCTTCTGAGTGAAAGCAGGAAATAATATAAAGCAGATTTGATGTTACCCAACAGGGCTGTGTTTTCCAAAAAAATCTTAAATCTAAACAAACTATAAAAAAATCATTATAGCAAAGCATCAGTGGCCTTTACAATCTATGATTGGAAAACGCAGCCCATGATTTGATTGGTCATTGATTGTGATTATTATTAATTTTTATTTATTTATTTTAATATGGTTTCTTTATAAAACGTGCACTCATGACATTCACAACAAGACTAGCAATATTTATTAAGAAAGTAAACCAAATCAATTTTGATTGGGTCATTTAGTTTTGAATGACGATTTGAATTATGTTATCTGGAGGCTATATAAATCTAAATAAGAGGCTTTTAACAGCTAGGCAACAATAGCGTGAATGTTTGGTTGTGCACACATTGGACACAGCTGTGGCAGTGAACCCGGGTGGCGCCGCAGCGGCCCGCTCCAGCATCTGTGCGCAGGATGTGATGTGAGGCTGCAGTCATGTGCATTGTGTTGATGGGACAGACTGAACACCGCTGTTTGGGGGGGCTGGAATTGTTATGATGGAAATGGTGAATGTACAAACAGTCATACAGAATACATGTCAGGATGAGTAACTATTCCTGATGACTAACAATGAGATCTGTTTGCTCATCTAATACCAAGTCAGTGGCTGCTGTCTCGGAGAAACGGATTCAAACAGTGTAATAGAGTCTAATAGAGATCCTCCGCAATCCTTTTTTGACACTTAAAGGTGGGGTAAGCGATTTCTGGTAGTCAATGTTGACATTTGAAATCACCAAAACAAACACGCCCCTACCCCAAAAGGGTCTCGCCCCTATTTTGATAGCT